GGGTTTAGGGTTTAGGGTTTATGGTTTAGGTTTAGGGTTTTGGGTTTTGGGTTTAGGGTTTAGGGTTCAGGGTTTAGGGTTTAGGGTTTAGGGAAGTTGGCTTTGTATATGCGTTGCGCTGAATGCGGGGTTGAAAGCTCAGAGGACCTCGAGGGTTTTTAGGGTTTGGTGGGTCAGGGCACTGCAACGCAGGCCAACTTCTGGGAATCCTGTTGAGACAGTTACCATGAAAATATGAAGAACAAACAAGAACAGGATGATAAAAATAACAATAATAGTCATAATGATGATAAAAGCAACAACAATATGATTCGGGAATTGCAGATATTAGCAGTCTAATATACACAAAAACAGTAATACTAAAAGTCGTGATAAAAAAAAGTATTACTAACAGCAAGAGTGCACGATGATTATAGTCATAGTCTTACTGTTCTGGTCATAGTCATAGTAATGATACTCATGAGCAGTAGTAGTAGTAGTAGTAGTACTTGTCGTCGTCGTCGTCGTCATCGTCGTCGTCGTCGTCGTCGTAGTTGTGGTAGTGGTAGTAGTGGTAGCAGTAGTAGCAGTAGTAGCAGTAGTAGTAGTAGTAGTAGTAGTAGTACTACTACTAGTAGTAGTAGCAATAGTGGTAGCGGTAGTGGTAGTGATAGTGGTGGTAATAGTAGTAGTAGTAGTAGTAGTAGTAGTAGTAGTGGGGTGTGGGGGAGTAGCAGTAGTCGTAGTCGTAGTCGCAGTCGTAGTAGTAGTAGTAGTAGTAGTAGTAGTAGTAGTAGTGGTAGTAGTAGTAGTAGGAGTGGGAGTGGGAGTAGTAGCAGTAGCAGTAGCAGTAGTAGTAGTAGTAGTAGTAGTAGTAGTAGTAGTGCTAGTAGGAGGAGGAGGAGTAGTAGTAGTAGTAGTCGTCGTCGTAGCAGCAGCAGAAGCAGTAGTAGCAGTCGTACTAATAGTAAAGGTAGTAGCAGTAGCAGCAGCAGGAGGAGGAGGTGGAGGACGAGCGATAATGAGAGGTAACCCTAGCTTCGCAATAGTCCCACCTGTCTGTCCCATCGTGCCGATCTCTGTACCCTTGCTTACCACATCTCCTTCAGAGAGTGCCGCAATAGAGTTCAGGTGCAAGTAGTAGGAGTAGTACTTGTTGATCACTCTGTCCTTGGCTTGCGTCAAGCGGTCAAACCCAAGACCTCAAACCGTAATCCCTGCATGAAAGCCACCCCATAACCCTTGCGATCGTGCGTGCCTCGCTTTCCTTGGCTGTGCCCTCAAACAAATTACATCCTATGCACGTGATCCTACCCTGGAAAGCCTTATATCCATTCATTAAGAATACCACTCAAATCATGATGATTGCAGGTGAAGTACACTTACTGAACAGAGGGACGAGCCTGCTGTCGGCAAGCATGGTTGGAAACTGAGGTTCCCAAAGGTGCGATGTAACATGCTAGCACGGGAGAAGAGCTACTTAATCTGCGGTCCACCATGACATCCACCAGCACCACATCGCGTGAGGTACTTTGGAAGATATTGGAAGAGTGCTTGACTCTCAAGATTGCACTAGCCCAGACCTTAATCACAAACACCCTAGCACTCTGCACCTCCATGCCTACTCCCACGCTACTCCAATGCAACCGAGGAACATGGAACTTCGCGGTCGATGTCAGGGCATGCTCTAGAACAAGGACATTTCCACCTCCAGGCATGCTGCCAGCTGCTTCCGTGTGCACCTGGTCTTCTAGGTTCTCCCGTGGCCGGTTTATAAGATGGGTACCCTTTATCCCGGTAATGCATTTTTGAAAAGGGAGCCCTAGAGCTTGGGCTGCGAAGGTGTTCAGCAATCCTCATGCGGTTTCTTTGTGTAAGGTCTTTAGGCTGGCGAGTTTTGGGGGTTCGGGGCAGGAGGTAAATTCGAAATCCACAGCCAAAGCCCGCAAAGTATCTGCCTGAAGAAAGACTCCTGAAGCCTGGACGCAAAAACGTATATGGATCCTATACCCTACCCCCTACCCCCCAAACCCTAAAACCTAAATCCTAAACCCTCCCCAACTAAACCTTACACCCTACCCCTGAACCCGAATACGCCACAAGGAGCTTGGAAGACAGTGCCGTTCTGGCAGGCATAGATAGGTGCGTCGAGGTCATCCTGGGCAGTATGGCCATGCTGCAGGGGTTCGTTACAGTCTTGTAAAAAGTTAGTAACAATGGTAACAGTAGTAGTAGTAGTAGTAGTTGTAGTAGTAGTAGTAGTAGTAGTCGTAGTAGTAGTAGTGATAGTAGTAATCATAATAAGCAATAACAGTCCGTATTATTAGTATTGTTATCATAGACCATGGCACCTACAATTAACCTGCCTATAAACCGTAAATCACAGGCGTTTAGGGTTTCGGGCTGTATGCAAAAAAGTAAGTACCTTCTTGCGTACTTAACTAGTAAGTACCTTCTTGCGAACTTAACTACACACAAGATTGCAACATAAACCAACCATTTGGAGTGCAAGCCCTCCACACATAATATAGAAGCCCACGGTAGTAGCGGTAGTAGCATCATTCATTTAAGGACCCCAAAGAAGGACGCCCCAATCCGCTTTAAATCCCCTGATTATAGAATCCAAATATAAGGTACCTGATACCTAAACCCTAAACCCTAAACCCTAAACCCTAAACCCTAAACCCTGAACCCTAAACCCTGAACCCTAAACCCTGAACCCTAAACCCAAAACCCTAAACTAAGGTACCAGTGTCGAAGTAGTCAATACCGCGGTGGAAGTCGTCTCGCGACTGGGACGCTTTCCAGCGGGGACCGAAGCTCGAAGAGATCTGCAAAGGCTTTGAGACAGGTGGGGCCTGAGCTCTGTGTGTGGTTTAGGGTTTAGGGTTTAGGGTTTAGGGTGTGCGTGTGATTTCTTAGGAATTTAAGGGTTTTGGGTATGAGGTTGAGGGTTTAGGGATCCCAGAAGGGATGATGATGATGGGACCCTACTCACTGCTTTTGGGCTTTGGGATCTTCTTGGAACGATTTAAAGGTTCTTTCTGGGTTTAGGGTTTAGGGTTTAGGGTTCCCAAACCCTTAAATCTTGCCGAAATGCTCCAAGATCCCGTCACAAACTCCTCTGCACTTCCTAAACCCTACGCCCAGAAGCCCCAACCAAGCCTTGACCCCCAAACAATAAGTCCCAACCCTAAACCCTAAACCCCAAAATGCTAAGAACAAATCAGGCTGCTGTGTCGGCGCCATCAAATCGAGGGATGTCGGGAGCCTTCATGCGAGCGAGCCGTGCGCAAAGCACCCAGTTGAGGGGTTTAGGGTTTGGGGTTGGGGTTTAGGTTTAGGGTTCAGGTTTAGGGTTTAGGGTTTAGGGGGCTTAGGGCTTGGTTTAGGGACTCGGATTGAGGAATATTCTTAAAGGTTTTGTCGGGTACTATAAGAGGTTCTCTAGGCTGTTAATGTTGCCAGAGAGCCAACAAAAGACCTCTGATGATCCTGCAAGACCCGTGTAAAGCCGACAGAAACTCAACAAGTAAGCCACCAAACCCTAACACAACACGAACACACCCTAAACCCTAAACTCCATGATGCCGAAACCCCAAGCCCACAATCATAAACCCTAAACCCCAAAGGACCGTGCACTGGGTTCTTCTCAATGGTCTTATCTAGCTATCATAAATAGGGATGTACCCTTTTTCCTATTATTTGGTTTAAGAAGGGAACCCGTAAAAGGAAAAGGGCTTACGGTAACTTTAACCATATTATCCTTCATACTGTATTTAAATGGTATAGACTTTGGCCCGAAAATACCTATACAGGGACTGCTGTGAGGCCAAAGGTACATGCCACATGAGCACATGAACCCTTTGGGTAAACCCCAAGATCACCCTAAACCCAAAACCCCTAAACCCCTAAACCCCAAACCCCTAAACCCGAAACATCCTCAAAACCGCGCCCCCCGGCACCTGAGACACCTGCGCGGTGCTCAGCTCCCGAAGAGTGTCGGACTGGACAGGCCGCGAGCTGGTCCTTGCTGGGCCCCCCTAAGTGCCCTTTAATGGAGCCTTATGGTCCTTTTTAGGGTTTAGGGTTTAGGGTTTAGGGGTATTTAGGGTATGTCAGAGGGTAGTTGGGGTTTACGAGTTTCGGGTTTCGGAACTTCGGGGTTTGGAAGTTTAGGGTTTGGGAATTAGGGGGTAGGATTTAGGAACTTAAGGCTTTAGGGTCTAGGTCTCTAGGGTTTTGGAGTTCAGGGGTTTAGTGTTCAGGAGTTGGGGTTGAGGGTGGTTTAGGGTTTAGGTTGTTGGGGTTCCTTGATGTAACTTTAGGGTTTAGGGTTTAGGGTTTAGGGTTAGGGGTTCAGGGTTCAGGCGCTTCGGGTTTAGGGCGTAGAGTGTAGGGGGTGGTGTAGTAGTTTTGGGCACTATGGCTGGCATTTTGTGACACTTCTTTCGGGCTGTAGAAAAGAGTAACTAAGGGTGAAACACCCACTCTTATTTACGAGTTCTTAAACTCAGATTTTGTAAGATCTGCATAAGACTTAAGGTAAAGTTATATAGGTTTTTGAGGTGTTGACATAAGATTCATGATCAGTGTCTCCGCATTGGAGGTTCAGGGTTGTTCGGGGTTCAGTTTTTTGGGCTCGCGTGCTGCAGGTTGACAGGGTCAGGGTTTAGTGCTTAGGTTTAGGGCTTAGGCAAGCGTTTAGTTCCAGATTTAGGTTTTGTGGGGTTAACGATTTAGGGTGCTACAAGTAGAGGGTTCGGATCTCGCTGTTCTCGATGCACACTTACGGTTTGCCTGTGGTGCTTCAAGGAACCCTAAACCCCACAGCGTAGGCACTCAACCCTAAACTCTAGACACTGAGCCCTACACCGTACGTAAACACTTGACCTTAACACCTAAAGCCTAACCCTAAACCCTAAACCCTAAACCCTAAACCCTAAATTCTAAGCCCTCTGCCAAGATCTCATCATCTACGGCGCCTTCCAGAGGCGTAGAACCAACCCAGCACTCCCCGGGCCGTTAAACCGCAACTCTCCGAAAATAGCCCTACCTTAAGAACCCAAAACCCACTTTTTTGTAGGTTCTTATTATAAACCCTAATATGGGATTTATAGGGACCCTACAAAAAAGTAGGTTTTGGGTTCTTAAGGTAATCCAGAAAGGGTTGTGGTTTACGGTTTAGGGTTTAATGTAGGGGCTTTAAGAATGGCCTTAATAATTAGATTTGGGGGCTCATTAGTATAATTTTGATATAATATACCCCCGAACCTTATTTTACTTATTTAGGCCCTACCTTAGGCCGAACAGTGCCGAACAGTACCCATGAATCTAATGCGCACCGTCCATAGCAAGCAACACACCCAAACCCTTAACCCTATACCCTAAACTCTAAACCCTGGACCCTAAGCCCTAACCCCCTAGACCCTAAATCCTAAAGGCCGGACCTCAAGCCCGTAAACACTGGGGGAGGGTTTTAGGGTTTATGGTTTAGGGTGAAGCACTGCACGCAACAACTACCGAACCAGCGACAACTCTGAACCCTGAACCCGAAATACCTAGTACACCTAGGGCCGTATACGAGTAAGCCTTAAAACCACCCAAAATCAAAAAAAAGAGCTTCAAGCTCCCGAAGCCTTCACCCTAAACCCTAAGCCCAAAGCCCTAAACCCTAAACCCCTAAACCCTAAAAAACCCGAAACCCTAAACCCTAATAAACCCTAAAACTCTAGACCCTAAACCCCTAAACCCCTAAACTCTAAACCCTAAGCCCCAAGTCTTCAAGCGCATGAAAGCTGCGAAGTCCATGGCAGCAAGGAGGCCACCAGGCGCAGGAAGGCTGTCGCGCGCATGGCTTTGGGGAGTCTCTCGCCCCTAAACCCTAAACCCTAAACCCCTAAACCCCTAAGTATATATCTGGGGTTTTGGGGTTCAGGAGTCTAGGGGTTTCGGGGTTTAGGGGTCGAGGGGTTTAGTGTTTGTTTAGGGGTTTAGGGTTTAGGGGTTAGGGTTTAGGGGTTTAGGGTTATAGGGGTTTAGGGGTTTAGGGGTCTAGGGTCTAGGGGTTTTAAGGCGTGTTGATCCTGGCATGCCAAGTCTGCCTTTACACACACACACAGGTGAAGCGAGAACGACCACAGTAACAAACTTCACCTTGTCAAAGCCCATGCCGCAGACCGCAGGCGCACGGTTAAAGGGTTCACGGTTTAGGGTCCTAGGGGTTTAAGGGTTTAGGGTTCAGGGTTTCAGGGTTCAACCATGGCTCTCTCTCTCTCTCTCTCCCTCTCTCCTCTCTTACCTCTCTGTAATACTAGCGCCTGAGTGTTAAGACTACCGGCTTTTTGTGGTCTTGGTTCATACTACCGACATATCAAGGAATCGTGAAGGAATGTAAGGTGCACTAGCCGTGCTTCCAAACCCTTTACATATTACATGTGTGCAAATGAACAACTCTCTCTATACATGTATATATACAAATACAGTACAACTGTATATATACATATACACACATGACATAGATACCTATTTATTTCTCTCTGCCTCTCTCCCCTCTCTCTATCTATCTCCCTCTCTCTTGAAAGGGCTTTCAGGCTGCTGGGGTTTCAGGCTTTCGGGTTACCCTACATTAAACCCTAAACCGGCAGAGGATTTCGGGTATCGTTCAGGGTTGAGGCTTGTGCTCCTCTTGCAAGGCTTGTGCAGAACATCGTCAACCCTATGTGCTCATGCCGTTTCTAGACCCTAAGCTCCTAAACCCTAAACCTCTATAAGCCCTAAGCCGCTAGTTCCATCGGAAGGTCATGCGGCCGTGTCTGGTTACCCTCATACTCTGAACCCTCATCTCCACCCTTCTAAAACGTTTATTCCAGACATGTACAGAAGCGTTGCATAAGAAGCTCAACATGAATATAGACCCCCGCCATCAACCCTACTGTATTCTTCTCCTTTCACTCGCACCTATCAAAATCTATGAGCGGGCCCTGTGCTGATACACACCCTAATCCCTGGACCCGAGTTGATCCGCAAACCCGACACTCTATCCCAAGCCCCTGAACCCTAAACCCTCTCTGTCCCAAGCCCATCCCGAAGCCCTAGACCCTACATCCTAAAACCTGGCCCCCTATAGGGTTTAGGGTTTAGGGTTTAGGGAACCCTGAACCCTGAATTCTGAACTAGCCCTAAACCCTTAAAAAGCCGTCCATGTCTCGGTCTTAGGGCACGGGACCAAAAAACCTAAACCCCCAAGCCCTAAAACCCTAAATCCTAAAAACCCTCAAACCCTAAAACCCGAAACCCTAAAAGCCCCTACACCCCAAAACCCTCCAAACCCTAAAACCCAAGGGGACCTCCGAGAGACGCCACAACGGTGTTGCATCTTCCACCTTGCGTTTAGGGTTTAGGTTTTAGGGCTTAGGGACAGGAGTGTCGGCTTGAAGAAACGGTTTTAGGGTCCAGGGTTTACGATTTAGGGTTTAGGGTTTAGGGCTTTGGGTTTCGGGGTTTAGGATTTACGATTTAGGGTCTAGGGTTTAAGGGTTTAGGGTCTAAGGTGAGGGGTTTAGGGTTTGGGGTTTAGGGTTTAGGGTTTACGGTTTTAGGGTTCAGGGTTTACGATTAGGGTTTAGGGTTTACGGTTTGGATTTAGGGTTTAAGGTGTGGGTTGTGGGGTTTAGGGCTTGAGATTTGGGGTGTCGAGTTTAGGTTTAAGGCTTGGGGTTGGGGGTTTTAATTAGGGTTTTGGGTTTACGGTTTGGGCTTAGGGTTTAAGGTTTGGGGTGTGGAGTTCAGGGTTTAAGGTGTGGGGTGTGGGGCTTAGGGTTCAAGGTTTGGGGATTAGGGCTCGGGTCTGTGTAGG